CCCACCACCATCCTTTAGCTTTGACTCCGGCCTCTCTCTCCTCCACCTCACATCGTGACTGAACAAAGGTGCCTTGGTTTCAAAGGCGTCGCGGCTGCAGTAAAAAAAATTGGTCACAATTATCATTTCCCAGCTAAATAAGCCAGAAATGTAATTATGTCTCTCTTTGGTGAGTCAGAAACCTATTTAGAATATGGTTGAATGAAATCTTAGATATATCTCACAAGAGAGGACCATATTCATGTGGGTCATTTTCCTGAATCGACTAGCGTGAATACATTCACCCCCCATGAAAGGTAATAAATTAGAATATCATTTATATATTTATATTGTAAGGTGTTTTGTTCCTATACCAGACAATGATAATATGCCAGCGTGCTTCTGCATACACATGACCTTATTGTTAGAGTTATAAAATACATAAATCATCAATTTGTAATTACTGCTTTCAGTGCTCCCTCTCCCGCCTTTGTCTGGACTGAATGCATTTAGAATTTGAAAAGAGATTTGGAAAAGCTATTTACTCCCCTGTGTACTCACTGTTGTTTCAGAGTTAGGGTTTTGAATATGGATGTGTAAACGTGTGAGCAATTCCTGCCTCCAAGTTAATTGGGTGTAAGTCTACGTATGCATTTGGCATCGTCATCATTCGTTCTCAAAACAAATGTCGTAATTATATTGCCGTTAACACTTTTGACAAAGTAATTGTCTGAAATAATATTGTTAGAGTAACAAATCATTTTTCTATCCAAAATGATATTGGTCTGTTAATCTTATGTTATCTGTTTCTACTACGTTAGAGACCACTGCTGGAGAAGCCTTTAAAAGCTGATTTTGTGCACATTCTATCCGCTAAATGATTTTCTGCAAACTGTTGATTCTCCATTCAAAGGCTGTAATGAATTTGTTCACCCTCAAAATCACCTATACATCAGGGAGAAACATTAACTGCTAGTAATTTTCTGAGCATATGAAGTAATACAATTAAATGATAATGAGCTCTGACTGCTCCTTTTTCGATAAAAATACACATTTTAGCCTCTATAAACCCTCCTATCTGTACTTTGTGAAGTATTGGAGAAAAAGCCTAATTATCTCTATCAGCTGAGATATAGAAAATGTTGTCCATCAGCACACAATTATATTTGTCAGGTAGCTTTACATGTCTCATAAAAACTGTTGCTATGGTTACCTGCTGTCTAATGTCCGTGGTGGATAAACTGTTGACTGGAACTGTGAATTAAGTGTTGTTACACGGACGCCTGCAAACCAATAAGAAAAGTATAAAAAGTATTTCAATTTGAAACTTTAAAGTTACACCAACCAATATTATACAATATAATGATATGTGTCGCTCATAGTGACAAACCCACAAATAATTATCCCGATGCACTACGGAGCATTTTAGCATCTTTTAGCTAGTTGTTTTGATCTTACTGTTTGGTTGACTCACCGCTATCTTCAGCCTTGTTTACACCTGTAGAACATTGCTGTTTTTAGTGATGTAGTATTGGGTATAAACGCATTGTATTCTACCAGTCTGGCATCAATAACACACAGACAAATTAAGCTAGATGGTAAACATAGAATTCAGCACGTAAATAACCACATAGAAAACAGTGAAAATGAAAAGTGAAAATCAGTCTTAAACTTGCCAAGTGGCCATAAACACAGCTACAGCATTGCACATTTTACTATAGCCATTACTTCTTTATGGGGTGATAATAGTGTGCAAATGTTGTGTTTACAGCCTGTTCTGCTGCACCCAAGTACTAAAAAAGTATTAGTATTCTTATAGGACACATTCCCTTTCCATTCTACTTTTTCATTTGTTGCAGCAAGTGTTTGATTCTTTGAAGTATCCTGTATGTTTCTCTGGTAGAAGGCCAACAAATGGTCACCTTAACTGATCCAGTCTTTAGCTGTTAAACTGTTTCCATTGTGTTGCAGCACAGCTACAGAAGAACACTGGGGATACCTGTCCATGCGAGACGCCTTGTAATCTCACGCGCTACGGTAAAGAGCTCTCCATGGTGAAAATCCCCAGCAAAGGCTCTGCTCGCTATCTCTCCAGGAAATACGACAAGTCAGAGGACTACATCAGGTACCAGACTAAACTCTCGTACGGGCAGTGATGTGCTGCCTCATAAAATGGGCCATAAACTATGACCTCCGGTGTGTGATAACAGAAACCCATCCATAAATATGAACAAAAGTCGATTACATGTTTACAGTACAAGCATCAGTTTATGTTTTGACTTTGGGTGAATTGATGCTCTACTTTAAATTAAACAACACATGTAATCTGAACTCTCCATGGTCAGACTGCCACACAAAAATTTCTAATGTAATAGATACTCCATTAAAGGGATACAATCAAGAAGGGTTTTGTCCCAGTACTCGCATTAGATTAGATTAGCCATTCTTTTTTTCTAAATCATCAAACTGCAAATGTTATTAAGATAGTTTCATTACTTTCATGTTTTTAGCACTACACACAAAACCAAACTACTGTAGAAACAGTCCAAATGTCAAAGGAGGTCCAATCTTCAATTCAATCCCCATTGAACATTTTACACAGAATTATTTGACATTGTGCTTGTATATATTCGCATTTTTTTTTTAAAAACACTTCCATCGCAATATTGTAGAATCTGGTCAGCACAGATGATTGATGTCTGTAGTTACTTTTGTAGCAGCTTCAGCAAGTCAGCGTTAGAAGTACTCAGATCCTTTACTTAAGTAAAAGTACATACACTATGGTCTTTAAGTAATCCACTCCAAGTGAGTGATTTCAAAATGTAAAACTATAAATAAGCATCAAAAGTACTCATGTTGCACGATGGCCCTTTTCAGAATAAGCACAAGTACAGAGTTATTATTAGCTAAATCAAGTATCAAAAGTAAAAGTACTCAGAAAGTGTAGAATAGTATGCAGAATCGATGTTCTCACAGTATGAGATTATTTTGGTTATAATGCTTTTATACATGTAGTTGGCCAATGTGGAGCAAATTAAGATACGTGTAGACCAGTACTACTATACTGCATTATACAATATCAGCATATCATGTGTTTTATATAAGTAACTGTGAGTGTTAAATAAATGTAGTGGAGTAAAAAGGACAATATTTGCCTCTAAAATGTAGTGGAGTAGAAGTATAAAGTAACACGAAATGGAAATACTTGAGTAAAGTACAAATATGTCAAAAATAGGACTTCAGTACAATACTTGAGTAAATGTACTTAATCACTTTCTATCACTGAGGTTAGTAAATGGGGCAATTTGCTCGGATTCATTTGTCAAACAGGCAGGGATTTGACTTTTTAATCCTGTTCTACAACAATGAACATCACTAATATTCAGATAATAATCAACCTAATGCATTTACAATGTGCTTATACTGTAATTCCTCTCAGTGATTAATAGACAAGAAAGTGGTAGAAAGTCAACATGCTTAAACTAAAGAGCTCGGAACACTTAATGTGAGCAGACTTTCTAAATCCGGAGACATCAGAGACGTGTCGATGAATGAGCTGTCTGCGCTCGTTCTGCTCGTCTCAGTTAAACCCTGAAACACCTCATTATCTCACAATCTCTGGGTAGATCTGTGTAGAGCGCTGTAGGCCTGACAGTCCCATCATAACAATTTACAGTGAGCGTAAAGATGACTGGGAGTGGTACTTCTCAAATGATGTTAGATTTGTAGTGAATTTAAAAACAGTGCAATTGTATTTCACTGCGTTTTACACCCGCCCTCCTCTTGTTCTTTTTCAGAGACAACTTCTTGGTCTTAGATATCTTCTTTGAAGCTCTGAACTATGAAACAATTGAGCAAAAGAAAGCCTACGATGTTGCGGGTTTATTAGGTGAGATTTCTGTCACTTTATTATCTCTTCTCAGAATATAATAAGTGAATTGTAGATGCTGAGTGAAATGTGTCTTTACAGTAGCTGCACATATTTGTGTGAGTAACAAACATGAACTGCTTTAACATTTGTTGCTTCCTATGGCTGTTTCTTTTCAGGGGACATTGGTGGACAGATGGGCTTATTCATTGGAGCCAGCATCCTGTCAATCCTAGAAATACTGGATTATGTCTATGAGGTATAGTGCCTGCAAACACACACCAGCCAATCACAATGTGAGATCAGAACTAATCTGATACATATAATTTTTTGTCCAGCAAGAGATGTGTTACGGACCGTTATACCTGTTAGAGAAAAGACTACATTTGTGAAAAATGTGTTTGTGCGGGGTACATATCACTGTTAATCCTGAGCATCAGAAAATCAATCAGACTAGCATCATTTGTTATGCATGTGAGGAGTTTTATTTGATTTCCAGGCTGCCGAAAGTAATTTCCTTTCAGGTCTGTGCCGAGGACGTCATACTAACCCAGATCATAAAATGAACGCCGTCCTCAGCTGTCTCCCCTTTAAGCTTCCAGCCGGCTACCTGCTGACTGCCACACATGTAGGCATAAAGCAAAATCAGAGCGAGGGGCTGTAATGCAGACATCACAGTAATGAACTCCTCACTTCGCCACCTCTCCCCCTCTCATCTCTGCTCTTTTCGCCCTCCCCGCTGCTGGGTAAAACCAGGTGATCAAGCAACGGCTACAACGTCTGCTGAGGCCGCAGAAAGAGCAGAAGAAGAGCAAGCAGCAGCCCAGCACTGTTGCAACAGTGGGCCTCGAGGAGATGAAAGCAAAGGTACCACACACTGTACGCTAACAAATAGCTGCTGTTCTACCCAGTACACAACTTCCCCTGCAGCACTGTAACAGCATGAGGAAACTTCAAGACAATCATTATTAATATTTTAAAATGATGTCTAATGTTCTGTTCCCAATTAGCCTTAACCACGGAGTGTCCTCCCCTGGAGCTTGGATTTGTTGTTGCACAACTTCACCCTCCTTAAATCTGAACAATACACCTCTTGTCTTATAAACCATCACTGTGTCTCAATTCAACATGATAAACCAAAACAGGTTTTCCATTTCTAACCAGCCAACCAGTGGAAAACAAAGGAGCATTTATTCTGTTGCTGTTCAGTATCTGCAGCTTCGATTAGGTTTGCCTGGTGTGTCACCATTTATATTCCAGTAGAGATGCAGAAATACAATTAGTGTTGGACTATGGGAAGAAAACACCAGTGCCTATAGGAGAATTCATTGTCAATTCACAGAAAAACATTCAGCTCTGATACCTGAAAATAAAATAGAGGAATAAGAAGTCATTTATTCTCAGCTACTATTTACCTAAATATGTTTCTCCATTGCTTCCATGGCCAATTGTAAGTGTTGCTCTCAACATCTCACTGAATTATCAAAAAGTTACAGCTTAGAAAATAAACATTTTAATATCATCCTGCAACTTTTTGGATGCATTATGAAACATGACATACTTCATTTTGTACTTTCTCTTCTGAAAATGTTGACAGAACCAGGCTGCTTCCAGTCTTCTTGCTAAGCTGGATTTATTGCTTATTGCTTCTTAAAACTGCCTGGAGTGATCCCAAAATATTTCACTTTAAATTACATATGACATGATATCTACCGCAGGATGAACTTATGTCACTACTGTCAGGGTTTGGAATGGCTGTCAATAGATTATTCTCAATGTACATTCTCGTCTTAGATTGTCACGTTACTCATGTTCTTTGAAGCTGACGTGTTTGCTGTGCCCTCAGCAGGAGCCCAATGACATGACACGGAGTCACCCAGAGGGGGCGTACGCCAACACCGTCCTCCCCAACCACCACCATCCGCACCCTCACCACCATCGCCCCGGGCACCATGGGGTGTTTGAGGACTTCGCCTGCTAGAGCCAACCGACGTCCCCTGTCCTGGTGACACCAAAAGATAAAAGCTGTCTGTGTTCAGATCAATTACAGAGCCTTGACGTTTGCGTCGCTCCTTTGCTGTCACCAGTGAAAAGCTACAGCCAAAGTCGAACACCAAACTCGTGCTGCTAACAAAGCACTTGTACGTACAGTATTTAGGCACAAATTGGACACCGCTTTTCATTTTTCTCTCTGGACCCCTCTCATCTTCGTCCAGCTTCACGCGAACATGTGTTTTCAGGACTGGTTTTCGGTACATGATCACAAAGAACGACAGGAGGACCGCATGTCAACTTGATCCAGTTTATACTCCGATTATTTATTTATCAAGCTCAGATTTATTTTGTTTGTATCCTCTCCTCCATCTATTCCTTCATGGAAAACACTCTGTACCATGACATGTCGTTACACATTATGTAATTATTTAAAGAGATACTATTATCTACTGTATATGTTCTATATTGTATACAAGATGAGAATACTTACAGTAATCTCACTCATGCTACATCCATCAGAGATACAAGGGGGGTTATTTAGGCTATACTGTATGACCTTGGCTTAGAAGATCTAGCAGCATCTTTGATAAACTGTCTGCTCTGTGGTTAAGGTGTTAGAGTAGCATTGTACCTGTACATAAAACTTTAAAAGGAGAAAGTTATAAAGTTCTGTTTCAATGGTTGTTGTTTATCTTCAGTTAATATATAACTTATGTAATATGAATTTGAGTTATTTATACATTTTAGAGAAGACTTTTATACAACAATAACGATCACGATTGTAGCATTTACTGTACACTTTACGATCTGCAGATATGTCAGACTGCCAAACATCAATACATGTGTCCAGCTGACACACATGGACTGTATGGATTGTGACTATTATCTACATCTTTTCCTTTTATGCTTTTTTTCAACACTCAAAACCTGATTGAGAGTTGAATGATGTTTTCAGTTATGACATGGTTTTACTTCTTCTTATTCAAATCATTTCTGCCCACCATCCACTCTCCACTTTGGTTAGCATCATAACTTTAAGCTGACATAAGCAATAAGAAACAGAATTTTATTTTTTGCCGAGTCATCTCCGTCAGCTTGTGAGCCAGTACCACTGTAAAAGTGTAGCAGCCATTTACAGTTCAGACCCAGTGTGACTGTGTGTGTGCGTGCGTGCGTGCGTGCGTGTGTGTGTGTGTGTGTTTGTTTGTTTGCATGTACACTTTAACATTTTTCACACATGACTGAGCACATAGAGCTGAGCTGATGCGTGGGGCGAAAAAGTAAAATTGGAATAGTTAGAAAGAAAGTAGGGAGTTTTATTGCAGTGTGGCCGTTTTTATTGATTAAATGTAGGGTAAGGACGGCTCAGAGTTTAATTAAAAAAATTGCTCTGGAAAGCTGAAATATTCTTACTGGGATGCTTAATCCTCAATGGGCGGGACAAAGACACAAAAGAGCACAAGATGGCCGAGTGGGAATGAAAAATAAAAATAGAGACTTATCTATTCATCCATAATAATGTTTGTCTGCATCATTGAAGGTCAACTTGCTCTCTTATCCTTATGCACTGCAGGAACTTAACAACCTGTAACATCTGGATTCATATAATCTGGAAGTTTAAGCCTTCTTTCTCGCATTACAATTTATAAATGTATACGTATTACACTGTAACAGTGATACTAACTTCACCATAGAAGTGGGACAGACAACAATGGAAATAGTTGAGAAATTATTGATTATGTTGCACATGCATGCTAGCTCCAGGGCACTGCTGTTGATGGTGGTGAGAAAGGGGTCCAGCTCTTTGATCCACATTTTAGTTTTTCATCCGTTTGATTTTTTGTCAGCACTGTTCTACTGTGTGTCGTCTCTTCTTCTCCTTAATGGTTCCTTTAACCGGACGTCTTTGTTAACCTTGCAACCTTTTTTTATTTTTTTGGTTGTCCTGCTCAATATACATGCAGTTGTGAAACGGCAGTGGCTTTTGTTATGTTTGTTGTAATAGTTTTTGTTGTGCTGTGACGACACATCTGCTTGGTTGATCACTCTCGGTATCAGAATGTTTTAAATAAGGAGGCACACAGGGACCAGGAGCTAGTCAGATGGGGGTCCATGGGAAATAAGAACATTCTATTAGAAATAAATACAGCATTGACAATTTACTTCGAAAACATTTGGTTCAAATGTGTGGCCCTTGAACAGTGCAGTGTGCCCTAACACAGGTGGTATTACACTTCACCAGACCCTACATTGCCCCTGCCACCCCAGCCCAATGGCATTAGTGGCTAGTGGTTGACAACATTAAAAGAATGACAGAAGCTACATGTTAAGTTATGTTAAGTTCCTGTAGTAGAAAACGGCTTTGGATCTAATTAACTACGGATAGTACTTGTGTTTTTATAAGAATAGGCACACTTGCATCATTTTTTGCAAGTATTAGTTTAGCTTTGTTTTCCTCTTTAATGAAAGAAGCATTCAGAAATGACGAAATGGAAGACATGCAGTCTTTTTTTTATTAACTCACCCACAGAATATTAGACGCTTTGTTTTATTAGTGTGTCGTAATTCATCTTCTATATTTGAAAATTCACATTGTGTTGTATTACAGGAAATGATGTGCTTACTAATAACTAGACAATTGTTTTTGTCTGGGAGGAGATGTTGATCATGTTTCCCTCATGGCAACTGTTCATGCATTAGTTTTGGCTTCAAAACAGACATTTCATCCTGTTTTGCTGCCCTTTGTAAACAAATTGTGTTGCTACATATGACTACAGCATAACCCTAAACTGCACAAATCAAGCCTGCTTAAAGACAGGCCTTTGACAATCCACTCTGTATGTAATTCATAACAATTGTCTGGCAATGTATAAAATACTTAACATCACCGAAAATCATGTTAACAAATGTAGACATAATCTTTCTGTTAATCCTATCCGTGTTTTGGTTGCTACAACGTTGCTATTCACCACTTTAGCTAACAATGAGATTCCACAGTCCTCCATCTGTCAAATCCCCTCCTCCTGTCAAGTAATCATGGGCTATACATGGCCGTTTAATATTCATAATCATGTGTCACTTTGACATTTTCAAAAGGTTCCCAATCACAGTCTCTGATGGCATCCTGTACAGGCTATGCATAACAATCTTCTCCTCTGTCATCAATAATTGTAGCTATCCTCAGACGAGTCACACAGGAGGAGGGGGGGGGGTGTTGCGATGAATACTGGGCTGCATTATCACTGAACAGTTTTGTTTCAATGGTCAAGCCTGGGGTCCATGTAGAAAGCTTTCCTATCCTCCAGATGCTGAGCTATGTAAAACACAACCCGATTCATTCTGTATACAAAAGCATTAAGAAAAAAGAGGTTGATCACAAAGAGTTGATTTTACAGCAGTCTGAGAGAGGTGCCACAGGACTGAGCATGGGCGGCAAGTCTGTACTGTAGCAGATGGGACAACTTCCCTGCTTGATAACAAGTAGCGCACATTCCTGGGATTCCTCAGGGCTCTACTCTCAGCTCCCTTATGCACAGCTCTTTGGGCCTACCGTTTTATAGCTCCATGTCATTCAGTCACATGTGCTCATTATATTACCCATAAAAATCAATTTGATCCGAGCAGCCACCAATATTAACATTTTGAGATCTGCTGTTATGTCTTTCCTTTTTCAGCCCCTTTTATTTTAAGCTAAGAGGTCATCTGAGAAAAGAGGGCAGTCTGAGTGCAGGATGACACAAGCAGCTGTCAGCAATTCCTGAGGAAGAATGCCATCCCATATCTGACTGACAAGGAAATTGACCATCACTGCAGTGACAAGAAACGCTGACATTTTGTACAGATGTGTGATCTTGTGATTATTTTCTGTTAGAACACATTTTATAAATGTTAAATATGGTAAATACGATAACTATTAAAGTTTAGATTGGTAAAACCAGTGCCTCCTAAATCCCGAGCCCAACTCACTTTTTATTTGAAACTTGTCTATTTTTTCTTCACATGTTCCCATTTTGCCACAAATTGTTAATCTTTTCCACCACTGACTATATGACGTTGCTAAAAGAAAAATAGACTACAAGAAGACTCAAGGCTTGCCAAAGGTGGGTATTTTGTAGACAATAGGTAACAACTCATAGGGGCTTTCAACAAGGGCCATTATCTAGTTAGGACAAGTGATATATTGAGCACTTCGCTTAATTCTGCTCCTCAAAATACCATCCAGGTGAAACTGGGTTGTTAAAACTAAGAACATCTCGTACAAGTTTGCAGGGGGACTTGAAACAACTGTGTCTCAGTGTGGGAGGAGAAAGTATTGGGATCTAACGTAAAAAGAAGTACAAAATAATGACTTACAATTAAGTCCCAGCTGCTCTGTAGTTATGTGGTTTTACAGCATGCCTCAGGGTAGTACACATAGACCCTTGAAATAACTAAAGCTGTAATTAAGGATGCAACGTTTTCCCTGTTTTTACCCAGCCCAGACATCAGGAATACCTCGGCTCTGACATGGGCAGGAATGTTAACTGCAAGCCACTGAGCGCACGCTGGGAACATGGAGATGACATTATTACCAGTGGGTATTAGAAGAAATATTTCAGTTGTTGTTCAGTAACGCTGCTCACCTCAGCTGCCTGTCCTGGTCTTTCACCTGCCGACAGTTACGCGCTCTTCTGCTGACACCTAAAGGACAAACTGGATTCTGTAGATTTAATGCAAAATAAATCTTATCGTAAAAAACAAAACAACAAAGAAGAAATGTTATACAAATACTCTTTATTTAAAAATTACAATAATTCACATTTCATTTGGGAATTACAGCACACAATTAAATGTGATGAGCATTCATTAAAATGTATCGCTTTGGTTATACTAGTACCCATATCCATAAAATAATGTAAACCTATAGGTTCAAACATCAATGGAAATAAAAATAAAAAAGGTATTTGCCTGCTTCTTTGAATGAATTACATGATTGAAGTGGGAAAACATACATTTTAAATTATCTTCATGGTCAAATGATTTTCAATGCTCAAAATACAGTACGTTTAATTTTTCACCAAATATAATAAAAGTATCATTTGCTGTGTACATAAAGCTACAATAAGCTTAAAAATAGAATCTATAAAATATTTATAAATGTACAGAGAATGCTGTGGAAGCCTCTGGTAGTGCGGAAGTATTCAGAATCTGCATAAGTCATAGAGAAATGGCAGATAAATAAGTTATGGACAAAACACTTAAGTCTTCGCTCAGCGATGGCGGCGGTGTTAACAACACGGGGTGATTAATCTGCCACGCTCGCTTGATTTTAAGCTTCTCACGTTTACAGAAGGCAGAGACGACCCAGATCACCACAATAACTTCATATTGTAATCCGAGCCCTCCGTCTTTCACAGTGGTTTTTTGGAAGATTCAGTTTCCATTTCTGCACATTATTAGTGTCATACTCTTCTGCTCTCTAAAGAAAGAGATGCGTTATAAAAATGACCTCCGCGGTCTTTGTTCACATGGCAGAAAATACAGCAAACACTGTTGAGGATCACCACTGCAGATGTAGTGTTTCCAATAAATACTTTGAATCCGATTAAAGTTAAATAAAATTGACTTGCCTTAATGTATTTCAAAGCAAATTTGATGATGGAAAGTGTCTAGTGTCAGCAAAATACATTAAAGGTCTTTTCAAAAGAAAATACAGTGTATTTACTTATCATTGAACAGAAAGCACCAGATGGTTTATGCAATGTCATGAACAGTATTGTGATAAACACACTGCTTTACTTGCAGCAAATAGGCGCTTTCACACCGCAGTACTTTTCCCACAAAGGTTCATGAGAACTTAGTTCATCAGAACTCTTTAGTCCTCATGAACTAAGTACAGATCGCGTTCACACCGGAATAAGTCCCTGGGGGTGGATTAGGCAAATGAAGCCGCTGACGTCACTTCTTCTTCTGCTTTGGGTTTACTGGCAGGCCGCAAACAACTTCACGGCGTATACTGCCGCCCAAAATCCAAGTCCCCGAAAATGGGGACTGGCTTCAGTAGAAGCTGCTGGGACTCCCAGCAGCTTCTACTGAAGCCTTCCGAGTAAATCGCCAGAACGCCGACACCTCCTCATCTCCACCGCTCCCATGTTTTATTTTGTGTTGCCATAAGTTAGTCTCTCTGCGTTTCTGCGCTGGGCTAATGCTAATAATGCTAATGCGAAGATAATAAAATGGTGGCTTCACAACACTTTTATTTGAGTTTTACGGGGCGTGGTTTGCAATCCGCCCAGCCAATCAGAAATATAGCTCTTTTCTCACTAGAGAGCCGCATGAGAGTCCCTGCTCTCTAGCAGGGACGGAAAAGGGGGTAAAAAGGTTCTCATGAACTAATTTTAGTTCCGGCTCTTTTTGGTGTGAACGCGACATTTCGGAACTATATCGGAACTAAAGTGGGAAAAGTACTGAACGCGGCTATTGTCTTTGAAATAGAAAGTCCCCCTCCATTGGACATATAGCCAGTTGTGTTATCTGTAATATTGCACATTATAATATACTAATAACTTGCTGGTGTCCAGTACCGATACATCCACAACCTCCACTCAGTAATGTAGAAAAGGCCTCCCATTGGACTGCACTGAGACTGGGAGAAAGCTGCCGTTTCTAAAACCAAGCCCAGGAAATGGAGGACAATGACATCATTCAATAATTTATAAAATACTTTAGAACATTTAGACATCTTTTTTAGAGTATAAAAAAACTATCTGCTAAACTTGTTGTGGAAAAATTGTTTTTTGATTTAAAAATATTCAGTTTTAAAGTACAGCTTTCACGAGGACTCACATGGGCCATCACTTCAGACGTTTACCTAGGTGATTTATTTCCCCCCATTATTCATGATTGCCCTTTGCCTCTTGAATGTACATTTTATTACAACATCAAAAGCTTAAATACACACTGCTGTCACCTTAAAAAAAAAAAAAAGAGTTAACTGACTCTCCATTCATTCCTCCCAGCTGTGTAACAGGCTTTATCCACAGTGGAAGATACTATCTCCTACCCACCCAACAGTCAGTGTCAAGGCACATATACAAAGATGTGCCTTTGTAAATCAGAACGTGTCAAAAGCTCAATGCTTCAATGTGAATGAGCACACAACCTGTGGTGCAATATACCGATTATCTTTTCGAACTTCACGTTAAAGCCCCATCTTACAATATCTTTGAAATTAACAATAAAAATGGACAATGAGTAGGATTTTTTAACATTCACAGTCAGCTTCTCCTCACCGTATCAATGAGGTTTACTGTGCTCGCCAGCGTGTAAAAGCAAAACCTCAGGGTCACGTTTTTGGTACAAGCATTGTCCGCATGGTGTTTCACCACACTATATTTGCATTTTTTTGGCACTGTGTCCACCATTCTTTTGGCTTTTTCTTTGATCTGTGCTTACAATCTGGCACCTGGTTGCTGCGTTTTATAAATGTTGGTGCACACAAAAGCCCCCAACGCAGCAAAATGAACAGAAAATAGAAAATACAGGCAGAGCTGCTGAAACAGACACCCATTCTATACACATACAAATACAATCCTACTCATTGTGCCTTTAAATCAAATGCCATTCTAAAATGTGAAAGTATTGCAGCTAATTCTTCTGATCCCACTGAATATCTGAACTGAACACGAGAGACGACACCATTGGGTCACCTATGTCCCCTGGACACCAAACACATAACAGCTGGATGAACCAGCACTGCGTCAAGGCTCTGCTGCTGGCAGTTTCTCCCAACAAGTGATCAAAACTTGTAAATTGCAGCTTTTTAGAATCGTCACAGTAGCAAAAGATTTGGTTCTAGCAACTCATATGCACTGTGAACATTTAGGAAAGTTTTCATTAGGAATGTACTGCATTCATTTTTCCAAGCTAGCTACAACCTCAAACTAAAGACTGCTAGAGAATGTCAGGCAGCATTAAATATGTCACCTCAGTTCTCCAGACTTTAGTTGTGCTAGCTTGCATCATCAAGGTTTTAGAGCAACAAACACAGTTTGTAACCTCAATATAATGGAAGTTTAATTCTGGTTTCAAGTGCTGTTTCCTTGTTCTTGCTCAAACAGAAGCATGGCAAGCTGGGAGCACGAACCGAGACCTTCCAGGTTGCTCTGAACACATCTGTGATAGATGTCTTCACTTAGCCGTGGGTTGCAGGCTTGGTAGCTGTACGGCTGGTGCAATGCTGGCTCCACTGCCCTGAACACGTGCAGGGCCGAATAGTTTAAGAACATGTCAAAGATGTCCAGGGTATCTAGAATCTCCTCATTCTCTTGGACGTCTGCCACCATTCGCGTTCGAGTTGCCATGTAGTCCGAGTTGTAAAAACACGCTTCTTCAAATGACCTGCGGTCAAAATGGCCTGCGTCCTTGACCAGATCAACTGTAGCCGGATGTGGCTGGTTGTGATAAGCCACGTCAGGGTTGAAGTCCTGGAAATGGACAGGGAAGAACACCTGCCAGTTGTTTATGGAGTTCATGCGGCAACGGTTCAGAAATTCTGAATTGACATTTGTTTTAATGTTAGCCAGGAAGAACAGCGAGTCAACTGGGTGCTTCTTTGAGATGATGTCCATGAATTTGATCTGGGATGGAGTTTCTGTCTTGACACTTATCCATGGGATTTTTACTGCAGGGTATTTACGTTCATAAGTGTTTATCTGACCCTTCACACTGGCGAATATATCATTCTGGTTGACTTGCTGTGCCTCTACTGGGTCATAAATAAATAAGAATGTGAGAATGGCATTTTCACTGGTCTCAAAAGCGTTTGAAGCATAGACTCCCAGGAAATGATCCACAGAGCTCCGGTCCTGCAGAGTAAGAGGTATAATGATGTGAATCCTGGTAGCTTCAGTGACGTAGGGCATGGGGATGATCTCAGTCCGACTCAAAGGTCGCACCAGATGAACTCGCTTAGTGATAGAACGGCTGTGACCTTTCTGGTTCACCACCTCCAGCTGAAGGTCCAAGGTGTACTCCATGCCCCTGACGGGGTCGAAGCGTCTATACCCGTTAATCAGATGCTGCTTCTTCAGGTGAAGGACAGGCTTATACTTCTTGTTCAGCTCTAGCAAAGCTACATCAATGACATTGGCCACATCCATGCGGTCAATGCCCTGCAGTTCACACTTTGGAGAGCCATCGATGCATGAATAAATCTCTTCCTCTGTAAAGTATTCCCACTTCAGAACTTCAAACCGAGATTTTGGTTCAAACGGTGGATTGATCCCCACAGGCCACTGGGAACTCCGGTTGCCATCAAAAGCAACCACACTCACGTTCTTTATTTCTGCCTGTGGAAACACAAGATGTGTTTAAGATCTAGCTGACCTGCCAGAGGCAAGCAAAGAAAAGCCTGGTTTTTATTTTTGACTGAACCATAGGTGATTTGTGGCACTTGAAAAGCAGCTTACCTGAAGCTTAGCAATCTCATCGTAGGTCTTCTGGAGTTCAATCTCAGTGAAGTATCGGTGCAGCCTGTACATCTGTTCAGGGTCAGCCACTGGATGGACAGTCAGAGCTTTCTTGAACTGTTCACTTTCTTCTTTACTCGGATCTGAGTTTTTTCCTAACTCATAATGGTGGTACTGAAGCCCCTGAGAAGAAACAAGAGACGTCTTTACATGAGGCATATTCAATCCTGAATGACAGAAACGTGTCTAACGTTTCTCCAAGCATAAGTTTTATGCTGTGCTGCTATTCAAACAAACATTACACGCTATCTAGGCAGCTTCTTGGGTTCATCTTCACTGCAAACAATTTGGTTTCAACCATAATTGCATAGTGAAGGCAAGACAGGGATTCATTCAGCAACAATCCAACATTCTTTTGTTATACAACAGCTTTCTATTGTCAAAGTTTTGAACATTTCAGGAATCTAAATTTGTTCTGGGATTATGGGATTCAAGAGATCCTTTATCTTAATTAAGCTCTCCAGTGTTTATGATCACAGGCAGCATCAGGTTTAACTGCAAGAGCAAATAATTTAAAAGGTTGAAACCTAATAACATAAATGACCGGAATCCCACTTAAGACACAGTCACTTAAGCTGAAAACAGAGTAGCATCCTAAGGAGCTTGAGTGATTAAAAAAGTGAATCCAATCTGATCAAGCTATTAAAAGAACAAAGAATGGAGATGCTGCTTAGCTGAGCAGTGAGGCCACTCTGTTGCAAATGTTTGCCAACAGCCTGTAGTGGTACGCTTAGTGAAGCATTATCCGTGCCTAATTGTCATCAATGTTGTCTCTTAACAGAAAATTGATGTCTGGCTCTGTGTTCAAGCTGATTTCTTCAACCGCACCAGGCCTTTTAACTTTCCCCCAGCTCCCCCTCCCTCGTTCAGGGGGAGCTGGAGCTCGTCTGGCTCCAGGCATTTTAGTTAGCCATGCAACTCACACTCAACTGTGTAACAAGATGGTATCCTGCACCGTGGCAAGGCCAAGGAGGAAGACATGGAAGCAAAAGACAGTGGAATACATCAAATTAAAAATACTGGTGTATAAATAATAAGGTTGCATTTCCTTTGATAAGATTCTGACAATATATTTGAATATGTTGTCCACAAACAAACATGGATGATGCAAACTGAATGCAACAAACAATCACCCGAGAGGGCACTGGGGCAAACAGACCTTGCTTGACCTTAATGCTAATGACATTACAGGAGCAGAGCATGTTGACCCACAGGGGATTTTCACACCATTGATCCTAAGCAAGGCTGAAATCAGCTGCGCTCTGTTGCCTGGTTAACTATTCCACCTTGGAGCTGTGGGGGGGGGGTTAGGGTAAAAGGCTAAAGGGTATTAGCAATCTACTCTGTAATATAAATACCGCCTTTGTGCTACAATGGTAATTACACTTTTATATACCTTTCTTTCAGGTTTAAGTGTTGTCCTTGAGGCAAAGCTTGATTCCGGCAATGATAGTTTTGTTATTCTGTCGAGAAGGAGCCCTAAAGGATCTAAAAAAGGCGTGGTATTATTTTACTCTGTTGCTCTTCATTAATTTTGACTCTGAACTGCCTCATTCTGTTCCCTTTTAACAGCAACCATTAAAAAAATGTATGGATAAAAAAAAAGTGTTATTGATAGAAAATAGAAAATACACTCCTACCTGAAATTCATTGACGCAGTTGGTTTGTGTGTAATCAATGATGCATCTCCCGAGCCACTCGTCAGGCCTTGCACTCAGGATGTCGTTCCTGCAGTTTTCCAGGTAGGGCTGGAGTCGGAGGAGCAAGGTACGTGACAGGATGTACCCGTACCCTCCGTAGCAGTACTTCCCTTCCATTTCTCCTCCTATGAACTCCTCAGGTTTGCCCATGTAGAGCTCTCGATCCATGCTAAGGTGATCCACCAGGGTTTTGATCCTGTCAGCTTCCGTGTAGGCGTCATCCTGGACGAAGTAGAACCAGTCGAATTCATTGATGTAATGGTCTAAGATGTGTTTGATGTTCTGATACATGTTCCATATCAGCCTCTCGTCTCCGTGAGAGACCACGAACATGCCATGAGGGACTTTGCGGTTGCGCATGCCTGTGAAGAAGATCACAGAGTCCAGGTGATGGCTGATGGTGCGATTGACAGCTACACCCAGAGTGTTTAGAGTGTTCTTGGATGTCAGGACCCCGACAAACAGACGCTCTCGCGTCCCCAACTCTGTGCTTATGTATTTAGCCCTGAAAAACACAGCAAACAGTTAATGAATAAATGTTGAATCAAAAACTAGACAACACATTTTCACCAACGGTGAATACAAAATAAATTGCCTGTCACACAAAAGTAATACTAATGATTATTTCGACACCAACATATTTCATCAAATCTGTGGGTTTGATGATGCCATGGCAATTTTGGGATTAATTACACACTACCAAGGAAAAACACAAACTCTCTGGAAAAGTAAACGTGCAAGGACTCGAATTTTGATTGATCTTTGCAAACATGGCACACCCTACCCATGCCTCTATTATACTGTGCATTGGATCTATTACGCCTCTTAATAAGAACCACACAAAGGCAATTTGTAGAATATTTGATTAGCAGACGAATCAGCAACTATTCTCCAAAGAAAGAAAAAATCAAACATGTTATGCCACTAACATCTCGTATGTAAAAATGTGATACCTTTCTTAAACATGTATAAAGGTTAATGAAATAGGTTTGAGATTTTAGAGATTTTAAATGTTGGTCAGACAAAATAAGATATTTAGTCTCTGGATTTTTGTTTTGATATTCAATGATCAATTTGTCATAAATCAAACAGTATTTTTTGATAATTAAAAAAATGATCTCTAGCTGCATACCTACCATTCTATTCCAAACCAATAAATGGCACTGGTTGCCTGTGAAACCTGTATGCTGAACAGGTTTAAGTTCTAACCTCCGAACACCCCAGGGAAAAGTCTCTTTCTCAGAATGTAATGCAATGCTACCACTTTGGGTGTGAGGGCTAACATTAAAACAAGGTCGCTATCCTGGAAAACCTGCCTGTTTACCAAGAATATGTGAGAAGAAATCATTCAGCATGGAGTCATGGAACTGTAGTTAATATTAGCTCTGGGGGAAAAAGTAAGCAACCATAGACTGTAAATATAAAAGGTAAAGACCAGCAGAAGAAGTTGTGGCTTACAGTTGGTCAGACTTTCTGTGGCAATTTCAGCAAGACCAGTGATCAGTGTGAGGAAAGAATACTGAAGAATTTAACTAAGTTATACCTGCAATTTGATTTTGTATTGTAAGTGTAATGCAACATGTTGTTGGTTTAAAATATGATACCAACATGATATTGAGTGGCACTTGTACATCTAGCAGCAGGTGAACACCATTATTATCATTCATGCATTACTAAAGATGAGCTATGGCCTCTGGTAGTGATAATAATGTGGCCTTTATTCAAACCAAGTATAAGCCATACACTCTGAGACTAGTTACAGACTGTTGACCAGCTTCAGTGAACTGCCATAAAAAGCTTACCTGAAAACTTTCTTTGGGGCGCTCTGCTGGACTTGTTTATATGGCACTATTCGCGGTTCAAAATCCTTGTCGGACTCCACATCGTTGCCAGTGGAAATAGAGTTGGGCTTTCGGGCTCCTTTGAGCAGTCCATCCTGACCCACAGTCACACCCTCACCCTCCTTACCGTCTAGGTAACACGCTTCGTCTGTCCAGTTTACACTTAATAAACTCAACGTAAACCCTAAAGAAATACCGACTACCACCGGGCCGACCGACCGCAGCACAGAAACAAACGCCGAGAATCTCATCTTGTGTGTCGGCTGCTGTGTTTGACAGCCCCGCGTCGCTTCAAAAAGCGTCCGAGCAGTCCTCTGGTCCGGGACGGGTCAACTGTACATCAAGTCAGAGTCTAAGCAGCTGTATCGATATTCAACTTGAGAAAAAGATGTAACTTCTTCCTTAAATTTTACGCTGGATTCTTACGTGTCAGTGTAGCGCCTACCTGGCTCCTCCCCGGCCAGACGTTAGCATCAGAGGCGGGACTAGTTCCCCTCTGTGTGGATGCGTTCAGGCTGCGCTCGGCGGAGGGATATTTAAGAAGGCTGAAGGCAGGGAAATGCCAACTGGAACAACCATAGCCCCTAAGTGTGTTGACCTCCCTATGCTGGCATATTACATGAGTAATAAAAAGTGATGTATTTATCAATTGTGGGTATATATTTTTTTACTGGACCTGAAATTACAAACATTGGCATTAACAAAAAGCTCATTACAAAACCATACAATATATCAAACCATGAGATATGTCAGCAACACAAGTTCATTCACATGCATTTGTAAAGGTATTTGTACTCTAATAAGGATTCACATTGAATTACCTCAAATAGTTCCACTCCAATACAATTGAGAGGGAAACTATTGCTATTGCTTTTACTATATTGCTATTACCATTACTATTATTATTTGACAGCTCTATATAAGCTCCACACATTTCAGCATCATAAACATATTTATTTTATTCAGTCAGTGTTGTTTTCAATCAATTAAAATCAACATATAGTGTAATATTGTATAAAACTGTAACAATAATACTCAGAGGGAGGATTTAACTATTGTATACACTTTTTACACACAATACTCATATTCAAAAGTTTTTAATGCAGGGTAATGCTCCTTGTAATGGAGTATTTTTGGGTGTAGTTGAAAAGGATGTGAACACTTTCTCCTCGACCATTGGCCTGACATGCACCTTCATGCCTTTATGGATGAACAACTTCATTAGCAGACTGATACCAACCAGGTGCACCACTGAACACACAGATATTTCCTCCCTCTGGCTATCAATCTTTCCTCAGTGCTCACTAGACACTTACAAGGGTTATTACCATGTGCTCAACAACTTCAAAGTTCGCCCCATGTTGTTAACTACAACTGCTTTTATCACTTTCCTTGTGATGCGTCCTTACATGTTCTATAGAGTATAAATCATCTAAAAGAGAGCAAAAACAATCAATCAAATGTCTGCGTACCTGATTTGTTGTTACAATTTAACTTAACCTTTAGTTCATGTCAATAAAAATGCATTTTGTCTGATTTAAGATTTGTAATTGAAGAGCTGTAATGTATTCTGCTTTTCCAGGTAACTTGTTTTATCTGGTCCTTCCACCAGAGTCCTTAATGATTGTAAACAGTATGGTCTTGTAAAAATGTTTATTATTACATATCGTCACCTTCTTAAACTAATGGCCTAAGTCATATTTTGGAGAAAATGTTTTTTTTGCCTAAATCATCTCTTCTTGATGCTGGCCACCTCTGGTAAAATTGCCTACATCCTTATTGAAAGGTTAGTGCTGTCCCTACCCTGATAGTATAATGGCCTATGTCAAGAGTGTGACTTAGGCCATATATTTAAAAAAGATAATGGCTTAAGTCACATTGTCTTGTGACTTAGGCCATTTTACAAGCTTTACAAAATGGCTGCTTCAAGAAAAAGAAAAACTAACAGATAAATTAAGTTATTTTCATGGTTCAGGGCTTATCCCCTGTTGGTAAGTGATGTTATACTATATTATACTATAGGCTAGGCTATAAATGTTGTGTAGTTATTTAGTCTTTTACTTTCACAATGTATGGTTACTGTAGCTACCGAAGCTACTGTAGGTACTATAGTTACTGCAGCTAATGTGTTCTACTGTCAACCCAGTCAATCTATGAGGTGTCACACATTTCCCCTTTTCTGGACAACACAATTTCTTAAACTAATATTACCTGTTCAGAAACACGAGTTTCCACTATTATACGTGTTGCATAGTCACGATTTTAAGGCAAAGTACATGTATTTCAAATGGTAATATGTTTCGTGCCTGCAGCACGTACGTATTTTCATCATCGTATCGGTGGAAGACCGGAAGATAGTGGTCATAAAAACATGTTTTTAACTGAATATTTCAAGCCACTAATATTCATTTATATTTAAATCGCTATAATATACGGGACAGTTTTGTTCCAATTACTCTGAGGAAAATGAATGGGGCTCAGAACTCACACACTGGAAATCTGTATTTTTTAATCGTCTACCTTCCTAATTTTGTTAGTTCTTGAGATCAACTTGACATCAGACACCCGATCCAGGAATCATCCAAATGAAAATGAGAACCTGTTTGTAAAAGAGATGGAGCAGCATGACAGGCCCAAGACCTGTATCAGATGAAGACATAACTTAAGACACTAATCATTGAAGACAAGTGTAGCTGAAGATGCCAATTACAACATGTCCATCCATCTTAACAAGACACAGATGTATGATAGAATATCATGACTTGATGTTATCAAGACCATTGCAAACCGTACAGCCATACTCTGATGCCTTCTCTGTAAAAGTAGAGTAGAGAAGACAGTCACTGGCACATCATCTCAGAACATCTATGATCAGCAAATCATGTCTATGAAAACGAGACCGGTTAAAAGAGAAACAACATAAATACCTCAGCGACCAGAAAGCATGGAAGCAAAATTAATCCAGAAAGACACCTCACAAAGAAATGGCATAGAAGGCCAAAGGTGGCAAGAAATAGCTGCAAAGGCATGAGCCTTCCCTGACAATACGAAGTTCTGTCAACGAGTCACGACTCGAGACTGTCAATCCATTACAGATGGAGTAGCAGGCAGTGAATAATTTCAGAAAGTGTTTGGGTCAATGGACAACTGGTAAGAACATTATGTGTCACCACTTTGTCACAAAGGTTGCCTGAAAGAAAGAAATTGGTGAGGGATCCAGGCGCAGTTCATCAATTATCCTACCAACTGAAACTTCAGGATGGAACGAATCTTAAAGTGTGCGAAGCTTTTTTCTTCTACACTTGGTACCTGAAAGAACCATTACCTCTGGCTGAACAAAGACACCATCGACCATGACGAACAAGTGGCAGACTACATCTCCACCTAAGAGTGGCAAAAAATGCAAAGCTGGAAATCTGCTGTCCACAGATTTCCTTCAAGACTGGTTGAAGGATCTGCCCACTGTTGATTCGCACTACTGCAGAAGCACAGCGACCTACAAAGACAATAAGTTTCCTTCAACCAAGGCACAACCATCTCCACAACTACATCGGGAATATCAACAGGCAGCTGCAACTGCTGGAAGTTGATGCTCTGCCAATCAGGGAGAGGAAGTTTCAGGACCTTCAGTCCATGAAACACGTCAATGCCCGTCGAGTGCCTGTCCTATGCTGCCCCTGAACGCCTCGTTGGAGATTTTTCTTTTTTCCATTTTTTTCTTCCCTGAGTATAGTGATGTAATCTTACCCAGGTCCAAATGGACCAATCCGTGGAGCTCTCACACACACACACACACACACACACACACACACACACGCACGCACGGCACGCACGCACACTCACTCACTCACTCACTCAAGCCTTATCTTTTCTCAGCCGCAATACTCCGCGGAGTTTTCGCCAGCACACTCAGCCGCAGCTGTGTGGATCTCTCCACCTCACAGTTCGCCACAACACTCACGTGTGTGGGTGCTCAGGCCTGAGTTCGGCTGAGTTTCGCCGTGTCTCGCTGTCTTGCCAGACCCACAACGCAGCAACCAGGAAACGACACCAGTAATCCAGCTCACACTGTCGGCTCCTCGAGTCTCAAAGGGCAGAGCAGCGAGCCCTGCAACGTCTCGCCAACACGGCACCCAGACCCCACGCAGCATTGTAACACATAATCACACATCAGAGCACAGTGGGCTCATAGGGGGGGGGCAGGAGCTCCAACAAGGCGTGTAGGACAGAGAGTGAATACACATACTATACAGAGATGCTGTGTGAGAAAACCAATGTGAGTTTGGAACATTGAACAATGTAAATCTACTCTAGTAGACCTCAACAATGGAAGTATGATCAGTAGAAATGGCCATGACATGGGACCTTTAAATGGAAAAGGGTTAGCTGCAATTCAAAACACAGCAAAGAAGAGCTGGAGGGAGTAGTGAGGAGAGGCACATGCCTCCTCAGCGTTTGATTTACTTGCCTTTTGTTTTATTTAGCTAAGAGTGATTTAAGTTGTACCTTTTGAGTTTGCTATATTGAATTAAATGACCAACCCAAACTGCCCTCTGAGTCTCTGTATGCTCTTCTAGCATTTTAAACTGTTAGTGGCTGACCCAGCCCCATGGTCTGTCACAGTAATGCAGAAAAGAGAAGTGCACTGTTTTGCCTAACTCACTTACTCCAGAAGTAATAAGGCCTAAATCAGGTTTAAAATTGCCTAAGTCACAACAATATGTTCGTAAATTGGCCTAAATCATCTAATCCTCTTATTTTACACAATTGACAGACAGTGTTATTTGTATGTCAATAGTCATATATTGTCATAACCTTTTTGTGTGAAATAAAAAAAAAAAAAAAACTTTCAAATATGACTTAGGCCATTAGTTTAAGAAGGTGACGATATTTAACAACCCAATACAATATATTATTTCTTCATTGATTTACCTTACTATACCCAATTCATGCCATTGTACTTTGTATTTTTTCAGTTTAAAATGAGTACAATGGTACTCTTCACAACTTCAGTCGAGCTTCTCCAGACCTTCCTTATCAATGATCCACAAGAAAAGTATTCTCTGTGCAATTGCTACATGTGTATGTCAGCGATGATTAGCTCAGTGTTCAGATCATCCACCTGGCTCCCCTCTCCTCTATCTGGCCTCTGTGCTTCTCCAGTCAGGGCCTCTGTGCTTTGTGGTCTGCTCAGTTGATCCTTTAACGGCATCTTTTTTTATTTTATTATCTGAAACTCTGCCTCCACCCCGTCACCCTGAACCCCAATCAGCCAGAACAGCAGGTTTTTAAAAACGGTCATAATCTAAATACCTCTCTGTGATATGTTATTAAAATATAAATATAAAAAGTATCCTATCTTGTAATATTGAGATTGTGCTTTTGATCCACAACTTAATTCTCAGCTCTCTTGTGCCCTCTAGTGGTAA